TATGGGAACCCTGCTAATACGCAGCCCGTAAAAAGAAATAGGAATAAAGGTCTCCCCAAAAGGAGACTTGAGTACCAAGACCTCTACTTCTTCACTAAAACGTACAATACTTATTTTGGGGTATATTCATTTATGTGTCAGCAGGTTACAATCTGGGGGATGTCAGGATCTCCGATCCCCCCGAGTTGGTTGATGAGAAGAATCGCAGCACGCTGATCAATTAAAGTCAAAAAGTTAACATTTATTTAGAAGAGAAAAAGATTACATGAGCAATTCTCCGCAGATATCTGGCTCTAACTATTGCTTGCAAGCAGGAGGTCCAACACACCAGCACGTATCTCAGCGCTCGGTGTAATGACGTCTCCGAGCAGTAAAAACGCTGAGTTTTTATACACATGTGAAGAACATTCTCCGTGCCAGCTACGAGAAGCTGCAAAGCAGGTTGAGATAAGAACCCAGGTGAAGCTGAGGGTAGCACACACACACACACACACACACACACAAGATCCTCCTCAGTGGCCGGTGCAAATCATAATTAATTGACATAAAGTAAAAACGTGGATCCGGAACTTTCGTACCGAATAAGATATGAACCAAGGCCATGGACAGAAGTCCTTTGTATTGAAGCATCTATGAGATCGAGTTGACCGCCCTCAGGAGGGAGAAGGGATCCCTTCTCAGGGCACAGCTGCAAAACAACATTTTGTATCATGCTGCTCTTTGCACATCAGGGTCAAATACAGGACACTTGAGACACGGCTTTAGCACAAACAATGTTAGAATATATTTTACCAGTACATCTCACAGGGACCAGCACACAAATCTCCATCAAATGTCTATTTTTCATCATGAACAGTTTTACAGTTTTCATCATTGCTTTAGATACAACAGGTGAAACCTTTCTTTGTCGTCCCACTTAAATGACGCGCTGTGCCCTTGGTTATACTGTATTCGCCATATTGGCCTGATGACACTAATCAGGCAGAGAGAACGAGAGAGACGGGGCGCTTCCTGCTCGGCTCGTCCCGTCAGCAGGGAGCGCGCCCAGATGACGGACAACAGTAATAAATGAGCTACGGGCCGACAGTGAGTCATTCAATTACATCAGCAATCAATCTTAATCAAATTATTCAAACGTACTTCCAGCACAGGAAAGACGCAGACCAAGTAGAACTTGCTTAGTGCCCCCCCCCCCCCCCCCGTCTTCTCCGAACCGTTCTCACGCTCTGAAAAAGTGCAGCAGCTAACATCTCTCTACAGCAGCACGCTTCTGGGTGTGTGAATCTGTAACAACACGTACAGTGGCTCAAAAAAAAAACACACACACACAGACAGACACGCTCACACACACCAGTGTGTTCAGTCTGGTGTGTTTGATAAAGGTTGAAGACGCCACATCCCTCTCATCAGAGCCACGGGGAGCAAGAGAACAACCCCCCCGTGCATTCAGCGTGGCGACGAACTGATGCGACTGCATCATGGTCTGCTGCTACGTGACGGCCGGGAAACCACATCGCTGACAACGTGGATGGATCCCCCCCCCCCCACCCATACGCGTATGACTGAACAAAGCATTTTGTCTGCATCATAATGACTGTATTAGAAACTGACACGTCCAGAGCCATTTCTTTTTGGTTTTCATGATCCACTTCAGTGGTCCGTCACGTTCATTTTTCTACAGTGAGCGTTTGGTTTCCTGGATTCCTTCCTGGGATTTATTTAATCTCATTTGCATCTGTGTGTGTTTTCCACCACTTGGGCTCTGCATTTCCATCAGGCCCCATCAAGCGCGAAGCCCCCCGACTGTCTTTTCCCTGTGTACCTGCGGTGCCTCCAGTTCTCAGAGCTGCACACTCTTTATGACTCCTTCCTCAAATGGAATAATTCAGAAGCACATTGAAACTGTTTTTTGTTGTCATCTGATTAAAGCCAGTTGCAGATCACCTTGTGTGCCAGCGTCCCGTCCACGCACCTCGTGCAAAAGATTAGGATCAACGTTTAAATGCACCACAATTTTGGCAGAAATTTTGACTTCTGCCCCCCTTGGAGAGAACAGTCACCTCTTCTGACCCGATACCTTAACGGGTGGTCATAGAACGCTAAGACACTATTAATGTGGTTGGATTTGAAACTGTTTCACAGGTAAGCCACCATAGATTACACATAAATAATAATTACGTTCGGTAGATAGATAGATAGTTATGACATCACATTATTTACAGTGACGTGTAGGTCTCTGTATTAGTTTAGTTAAACCTACTGTGTGACTGTACTAGAGCTGAGCCAATGCTCATGCGACCTACAGGTCATAGGTAAGCAAAGTGAAATAGCTGAAGATGCACTTGTACGGTGTTGAATTGTTTTGTTTTCTACACAAGCTATAAATCAATGTGACCGAGTCGCAGTAACACACACATCTCCAGTAAGTGCTTTGGGGTTCGATGAGACAATGGAAAAGCAAAGGTCTGTGGACTACAGAAGCAGCTGGCGAACCGATATGTAGAAGTACACTGAACATGGGAAGACGAGGGATGTGGCGTTACGGAATGTTTACACCAACACATCATATCGGGGCCGATTGATCAAGCTCAATTCTACATGATACGCTGGGACACAAATGATGGTTTTATACTACTGATGCCATACACATACAAAGGATGACAACAGTCACTTTCCCACAGTGTGGCATCTGGGTATGTTTTCATCGTCATGCCAACAAAGCACCACCCGGCGTTTCTGTCAGCCGGAGCTAAATGGTACATTTTCAAAAAGACTTCTCCACTACAATCACACAACACAACGGCGCTGGTATCAATACCAATGCAACTTTTCCCTGCACATTTTGTTCCGCTGTCACTCTAAATGAGGTATAATGAGACATAATGTATATAATGAAGTATGATGACTACATAGTAGCGAAGAATGCGGGGGAGTAAGAAAATAATACCCGTCTAAGACCAGTTCTTGCAACGTTTCCCAGACTCTTGAAGATAAGTCACTGAAAGCTTTCCACTGCTGTGTTAAAATATCAGCTTTATTCTTCTTGTAGTTAATGCTCCAAATAATGTGAAATGGAGTATCATAACTTAAAAAGGGCCCAGTTTATTCCCTCTCTTTTTTTGTTAGTGGAAAAGAAAAACAACTGTAACAAAGTGTATTTTTGTTAATAGTCAACATTAACTTTCCCAATAGTCACACAAATGTGTTGTCTTAAAGACAATACGGCATCATCATCATTCATTGCGTGTTGATGGACAATCTGTTATGTCTTTACCAGGACAGGCTGAAAAGAAAACAATGACGTAATGTTCAGACTCAGTTTTACTAGCTCACGTAACACAATGGTGCTGGCCTTTCACTTCATTAGTCTTCTTAAAAACAAATGAAGCACGTTCCAGGAGGTTTATTTTCTATGATCAATTTCAAAATATCAAAAAAGACTAATCATCCTAAACTAAGGTGTTTACAATTACAATTTACAATGATTTACAACAGCTTCCCTGAAAATCTACAAGCGTGGAGGAGCAGTCAGTGTTTGTTAGTTTCATCCATAACCACAATATTCACATACGTTGCCTTGAAGAGTCATTCCTCCTTTAACTTCTAGAACGACGCACATGCTGGATATACACAGTGGGGATGAGAGACTATGGGCAGGGGGACGTGCTCACTGGGACGTTTACTGAGGTAATGAATCAAGTGACAAGTCATTTTCTCACAGACTGCATAGGATGCAATTGGACTTGCGAGCCAAAGAGTCGACCCCTGACGGCCATTAGAGAGAATGCATGTTTAAGGCACTTTGGTATTGGATCCATTCTTCAGGTCCGAGGTTGCAGCCCACACACATACAGGGATTCAACGTTTGCCACCCAGTATGATCAAAGGACTGCCCACACAGCAGGGATCAAGTACAAGGGAGCCAATAGTGGTCTCCATATTGTGGCGTCTACACATGACACATATTGGCAGAAGGTTTAAATCTATGCTGATTATCTAGAATTGTCACAGCAATGGTTTTCTGAAACTCTGACACAAACACTCTCTGCAGAGACAAAGGCCTCCACACGCTCGTTGAAATGTTCTCATCCACTTTCGGTGTCAGACTTCGATGGCATACAGGTAGGAATTTATTACATCTGCGCTTGTATTATTTCCGTAATGAAGACGAACTTCAAAAAAGGGTGCATCTGTCGCAGCCCGTTTGTGTGAGTGTGCACAACTGTTCAAACCTCTGGCCCCATGAATCAATAATCCCCCCCCCCCGTCTAAGTGCGTTATTCTCTCCCGCTCTTCATCTCTCGCTCTCATCACTTTGTCACTTTATGGTGGATGGCGGCGCAGTGCTTCAGGAGCTCAGCGGCTCCTCCGGGATCCTGGTTGAGATTTGCCGGTGGTGTTTGGGAGAACCTGTTTGAGAGTTTCAGTTGCACCCCTGCTCCTCGGTCCACAACGGCCATGCCTTCGCTCACAGGATGAGCGGATCTGTCCCACGGCTCGTGCTATTATAGAGTCACACGGTGATTTATGAAGCCTGTAAAAGATTAACGGGCCAGATGACATAGTGGGGAAAGGATATTCATACTCTCTTGCTTGAAGGACTGTTTTGATATCCACCTTAATCTCCCCAGTGTTCCTTATAAATAACGGCTATCAAACATGCTTCAAGCCCTTGATAGATCTCCGGGAATCCTTGAAATACATGTTAAGTGGTGAAGTTTTTCAGATAATAATGTCACAACCTGTACGTACACTCTTGACCCATTCCCCTACTGTGTGGAGAGCCAGTAGAGGACAGTGTAGGTGATGCTGCTAAGACCAGCGTGAATACGTTGCCATGACAACAACTGGATGTTGACTTATGCGATTTGTAAGTATTAAGTAGTTGAGGTTATGCAATTCTAACACATTTTGGTTCTTGTTTGTTTTGTTTCAAACTGTTTTTATAAAGCCAAAAGGCTTTCGTACTCATTATGATAAACAAGCTTTTATTGTAGTAACATGAACACATGACATGGAAGATTAAGCCGAAATGGAGTCTGGTATCCTGCTACTCAACCAGGAGAAGAAGGGAAATGTATTAAGGTAACATATTAAATGCTGTTGTACGTGCTGCAGTTAAGGGACAGAGTATTTGGTTTTGTGCTGTTTGTGCATGAAGCTGTTTTTATGAGGACAATATTAAACATGGAGCTCAGTAAGAAAAGCTGACTCTTTCAGTCAGTGTGGATACAGGCAGGGAGTGACTAGGAATAAATAGCTCTATACTCCATACACACAAAGAATGTTTCTTTATTTCCATGACCCAAACATGGATCTTCAGTTGTTGAGGATGTAGATTTATTCATTTAGTTAGCCGTCATTGGTGCATAGGAAAGGAATTACCAAAAAACAGCGTTCTGACTCAGCTTACTTAGCGTAATTAGCCAGCTAGCCACAGCTAATAGAAGCTAATAGAAGCTATGTCAACAAAAAAACGCCTCCTCTATCATTTGAATAGCGAAGCGACGTGATCCCACACAAACAGGTAGTAGCTAAACAAATAGTTCCAACGAAACGTTACCGGTCGGTCCTGTTGAGACAAAACTTAATTGCCGCCATGATGATTTTCCAGAGTCATGAGATGTGTGAGATAATCACAGTTAGCTGAGGGGTGTTCTGGTATTTTATACAGTACCTCTTCAAATGCAGCTTCCGGGATTGTAGTTCATGTTCTCAGTGGTTGGCCGTTCAAATAAAACTGAGCGGAAAAATTGTGTTGAAGTCGTTCCATAGTTTTTGTAATACTATGGTCAACATATTGCTCAATATCACTGACCACAAAGAGACTGAGTTAAGAAAGAGGACAAGAGAGATTACCGAGAACAGAAGTCAAACTGTCAGCTGCTGATTTAGAGCTTTTGTTCCCACCATGACAGCAGTTATGTTCAGTGTTCTGTATATTGCATATTGACAATCTAATACTACAGCAGTATCCGTTACAAGTAATCACATTATAATAACAAAAGCTCTTCTTTTGCAAATCTTTCGGGGAAAGGAAAGATTCGTTAGGTGGTCTCACAAAGAAAGACGGAACCTTCTAAAGCTGACATCCGGGTTATCATAGTTTATGCAAAACAACAATAGTATATCTAATGCATTCAGTTTGCTAAGTGCAAGTAACAATAAGCGTAGCCTATTTGCACCATTAGCTAAAAAACTAAAAAACATCCTCTGGGCTTTATCTCCATTTGGACAGGCTGACTATTTCCCTGTGTTATCATCTAATATGACCCCAAGAGCTGAGCGAAGATGGATCAAATTAGTCAAGTTGGCTTTAAAGACCAGACAGATCAGCTCAAAAACAGGCTCTCAAATGACGATGATCTTTGCTCTGCTGAAAACGACTCCTGTCTGGTCTGCGTGGGCAGTTTTATGATCTGAATGTTTTAACCTGCACAATTTCTTTGAGACAACTGTGGCAAGCAGAATAAAAGCTGTACACAGCATAATCAATATTTTATGTTGATAAGACAAACTCGTCAGCAATCATTTGATCATTTACACATCTAGCTACTATGGAGCAACACAAATTTGGATTAAAGTGTTTTGCAATTGGGTCAAAGTATGTTTTCTTCAATAAAGCATGATATTTTAATAGTAAATAGAGCATGAAGCAGGGTATGCTTAAGGTGGGGCTACCTTGATATTAAAAGGTCTTTACAGCTGTTTTTTGTTTACATTTTGTTTAACCTAAAATGTCTTAAATGGCTGAAACACCGACATCAAGGCTTTAAAACAGCATTTTAGAAAACCAATGGGTCACAGTGATTTTCTCTAGTTTAAATCTTAAAACAGACAAATCTCGGTCCAATATTCCCTTTATATTTACCTTTGTTTTGTCCTGAAAGGAATGTCTGGTTCCAAAACGCACTGTACCTTACAGCAAACTGCTGACATTGTCCGTCTTTTGCTTGGTGCTGCTGCGTAGACACAGTATGGGGGGGTTTTGTAAGCCGCTACTTTTTTGCCAAAAACAGATGCCTTCTGCGAATGGAAAAAACTGAACCCGAAACTGTAAAACGGTGGGCGGTAAAACAAAAAAGTGGGCCGAAAGACTTACAGCTGAGAGGACCCGCTGGGTCGTCTGATCATTTTATGTAGGTTCGTCACTTTCACGTGAATAAAGTCATTTGAACATTGTTGATATGAAAATGTAATTACGTTAGCTTTGAATCCAAAAGCACAATTTACAGTGCAGTACAGTGCAGAAAAAACACAAACAGACATAATGTCACTCTTTATACAACATGACTTAATGATGTCCTGTTTTCAAAATGATACCATGTGTCGTAAAAGACTCGTCACGATCAACTGCTTCAGTGCATTTCCATTTTTTCATGCACACCTAACTGAATACATCTCTAGTTAACCACGTCAAACATCAGAGGACTAACAAAAGATGGCATTCATCGCAGGACCCATTACATTCCACCGTGTCTCTCCCATCATGCATGACCTTGAAGCAATAGAGAGCAGCTCTGCGTCCACTGACACCATCCACCTGCTGACCCAGTGGGCGGTCGCCCTTTGAGACCCCAAACCCAGGACCCCATGTCCCACCGTTCCTCTGGCCTCGGCAACGGGGACCATGTGGGAAGAATCCAGAGCATTTTGGGAGATGTTTTGTGGAAGTAGTACAGACATTAATTCTATCTCTCTCTATACATATATTATAGGGGTCTGTGTATGTATTTGCCCTCTCGTGTGCATTGATTTGTATGTAAACTTCATTGTGTCGGTAGGAAAGCTGCCCGGAACTTGAATGTCATCACTAACTGCAGGTCATATTTCACAAGAGCATCCCAGAGAATGTACAAATTAATCCAGTGTGGAAAGGTACGATGCAAAAAATCTGAAACCGTGTTTCCATTCAATTGTCAAAGTGAACTTGAAAATCAAAATTACTCAAAGAAGGGAATAAAAATGTAATTTACTTACTGCAATATCTCTGTATGAAACCAAGCGACATGCCACACTAGTTGGAGGATTGTATTTTTGGCCCAACCGAGTTACTGTTTGAATCCAACCCATCCCATTTGATTAGACTGCTACATAAGTTACACTATTGTGGGTATGTAAGATCTTTTAAGTGTAGGGAAATGCTTTGAAAGTCTAAAGCGGGAATGATTTTGTTAAAAGCTGAAGTTGAATACAGCTGAGTTAAAATGCATTTTCATGTTGAGATTATCCGTCTCTGCTCAGCAAAGAACAGAAAAAAGAACAATGTATGAAGGTAATATGACAGCAAACCGCATTTAGACATATTAGGCTAGACATGAACGGTGTATGGTTTTATAGCCAAATGCATGCAGATTGTGTAAAAACCCTTTTGTCCAAACGAGTGCCTTTTGTTTATTTACGTCTCCACATCTGCACTGACTTCATGATTTTAGGCGGTTCAATAATTTTGCATCTATAGATTGATCTCTGAATGGTTTGTGTGCCTCAAATATGCTCTTCACATTGCAGGGTTCCTAGCACCAGTACGGGGTTGCAGTTCAATTTGCAAAAGTTGCACATTTTCCCATTTAAAAAAGTCCAGACCTTCCCACACTGCGCAGGAACACTGGGGTCAAAGCTCCCGCACACCCATGGAGCAAGCAAGAGCTACAGCTGCACAGCGCAGAAGCTACGGTTCGGCCTCCCGGCTCTGTCACATGCAATAAAGTTGAGTTTCACTTGATATGCTATGAGCCATCCTCACGTGGATAGCTGGGTTTTCTGTGACCTGCGCTGTCACTCTGCTGCCAGTGAGCTAATGCAGTGCTGCTCCGAGGAAGCCACTTTCTGACTTTGCACGCCCACTGCCATTCTGCTCATTTGGAAAATGTAAAGCCAGAGAACAGATCGAGGTAAAGATGTTTCGTATGTGGCAGAATGTGTCTGCTAACTTTGTCTCCCAGCATTTAACACAGAACACTCCCTACGGACCTCGGCCAGTCAACTTAGCCATGGGACCGTAGACTGGACATCAGAAGCAACGTAGTCATGACGTCATCTGTAGGTTTGACCTCTGGGATTTAGCTGTCGCCACCTTGGATTAAAGGCGTCATCCTGTTGTTTTTTGCAACCAATGAACAAAAGTTATCATACATGAAAGTGACGTAGAGTATATTTAAGTATAGTATACGTACAAGGCTCTGGTAGTAAGCCCACCCTAAATTATAGTCTGCCTCTAAATAGACCATGTTTCACAAAATAAACATCATGCTGTATTGAAGAAAACTTGAAACTGGCAATTGAGACCATAAACTAATGTTTATAATGTTTACTGAGAGAATAAATCACGTGAGAAGTCGGGACATTTTCTCAGAGGTCATTCAATCAAACTACACTTTAGCTACTCGCTTACTAATACGTAGCTAACATTAGCTTGCTAACTTGCCTCATCGTGGTTATAGTTGTCAACTGCACGCCTGGTAACAACGACATAAAGGTGACAAAGAAGCACTTTGAAAAGCTAACACGTGAGGGTTTTAAATGGTTTACATGCATTGGGTTATTTTTTCTAATCTCATAACATTTATCTCATGAACAGTGTTTTTCACAGCATGATGTGTAGCACTTTGTCTCTATTGAATGACGCTCCCAAAGTTTTAAGACGATAACTATGCGGCCATTTAAAGACTCGTCAATGCTACATGGGCTGCAGGGCAGAACTCACTGCATCTCCATCCCTTCACTCCACTAACTCATCACTTAATTGTCTTAATGACTTAATGAAGTATCTTCACTCAGAGACTAATGCTGGGAGTCAACATTAAAGGTTGCCAAGCGCTGCCAGGCGGACCACACTGCAAACCTGGGGGACAAAGAACCACATAGATTTGCTGGGATGCACTGACATTGCTGAAAGAATATTAAATGTAAAAAGATGGCAGGACTAAAATGCTCAAAGTGACATGCAAAAATGACACAACTTTGACCCAGCGTGTTCATTTGCATCAGAATACAACAACTCTTTTACCAAAACACCAAAGAGTGAATGCTTGGGTGTCCATAGAGGGAGCATACCCTTTAAACAATGCAATGTAAACCATGGATTCGCCTTAAGCTACACAGAAACACTGCATATGGTTTATTTACTTGAATATATAGTCCACACACATCCACCTTATTTGTGCATCAAAACGACTTAGCACCCAGTTTAAAACAACTCAATCGTGAATATTAATTTACTGCTTTCCTGTAGATTGAGTGGCAAATGAATATTGCAGCGTGAGGGACATTTAAACTGATTCAGGCGGACGTTATCGGTGATGACAGAGAGAAAGTCAATCGAAGCAAAACATTCTGTAACTACCGCTGCGTTTTTAGAACACTGGAGGCTTGCGAACTAAACGCAGTCGCGTGTTGTATTTTTTTAATCACCTATTAAAGGAGCTGTATTTTACTTTATGAGTATTAACATAAATGACACTTGTAAATACACACATACATCTATTATAGGCCTACAAGAGTTACAGTATATGGATAGTATCTTTAGCTATGAGGCTCACCTCCACTTGTTAAGACCTGTTAGAGGCAATAGAATGAAGACATCTCTACATAGAAACAAACAGATCTCACCTCATCCTGCACTCGATAGGTAACTATTAACCCACAGGAGGGGAAAAAACAAGTGGCACCTGCTGGATAATGGTCACGTCTTTCAACAATGGTGATGTGGAGTCAGTATCCCTAAGCCCTACTGACTGTCAGTCCCATTCACGCCGCCCAGCTGGCTTAATCTCTCTGTGTTCTCTCAGTTATGTTGTGTTACTAAAAATACAGCGAAAGAGCTGGAGCACTGAATCCAGGCTTATTGCAGGCCCAGTGTGCATTATGCTGGAAACACCTTGCCTCTGCCGACAGATGATTATCGGTCTGTGACAAAGGGTTCTAGAAAATCCTCGGCAGAACCTCCTGAGAGGCACCGCACCTCTGCAGTGATTTTTTACTCGACAGTGTACAATAAATGACTGCTCCGTTTTTGAATCATGCAAAAGAGCAATGCTCCCCACCGACACGGTCCGCGTCGCGGCCTACTTCATTTGCCCGGGGAACCACTCGTCGACCCGCTGCTTCGGCACAAACCCTGCGCCCGCACCAACAGTTTAACAATTTAATAGTGAGCCTTCAAAAGTGAGCAAATCTCACTTGGAAAAGGCACGGGGCATCAAATCCCAGGCACCTGACAGCGAGGATCGGCTTTGAGCGATGGGCTGCGCGGCGGTTGGCAGCATTTAGGGAAGTTTAGTGTCTTGGTGCGGCTTTTCCACTGAGCAGCAATCAGTCAGCGATCACCCCAGAGCCCGCTGTGGCTTAGCTCCAGATTTGGCCTTTCATGTGATCAGCGTTTTTACATTTCGCTACAAAGAAAAATACAAGCCAAGCCTGGCAAAAGTGGCAACACTTACTATTGTTTTGTAGATACTTCCAGATCATTTAGATGAACATTTGGAAGAGAAACTACATTCGGTTGGCAACACATTTTATTATCTCTTTTCAGGTCCCGAGCACTGCTCCCCTAAATCAACAAAGGTGGCAGCTGATAATGGCATGGCGCAGTGCTACGAAAACAATATGTGGAAGCCATTTATATGGGAATATTTATGAATTAAAAGTAATTCAAACCAATAAATGTGTATTTAATATGAATGTTATCTAACCTAATAATACAGTTTTTCTCTGAGGTAGCAGGCCAGAAAGGGGATATTCGACTGGTTACGTTATATATTTGCAAAGTATTTATTGTGTGTCCCTCTTAATAGGGTTGTCCCTGGAGTTTGGTGGGAGTCTTAGAAGAATCTGGAAGGATCTACAAATCCATGCAAGGACCAGCGAGGGTTTTCCCAACATTTAGCTTGCATAGCTAACGTCAAGATATCATTTATTTCACATAGTGAAATAGTGACTCTGATGTATTAAGACTAGTTCTTCCTGCATTAACAGAACAAACTGACATGCCATTAAAGGGAGACAGAATTTCATTTTTCTTGAATAAATACCATCTGAATAGTTTATTTTGTCTCCTGCAGTGCCAGCCGGGCCAAATAGTCTGACTTCAGTATGATGATCTGCTACACTGCAGATGCACTGTACCGCCGCTGAGCACATCATCTCCAGACCCTCCAACGTGGGTAACAAGTAGCCAGGACCACATGCTGTCCACCTGGGGCTCTGCTTCTATCCAGCCGACACAGCAGCAGCCTGTTGAGATAAACAACCTCAAAGCTCTGCGCGTGTTGGCCTACATCTAATTAGCCAACGCATTTAACTAATGAATGTTGCTGTGACACTCAATACGGGGCAATGGAGACGATGGCGCCGGCTCGAGTGCGGCTTGTGCGTTAGTGCGGTGGAGCGCGCGCTTCCGTTCTACGCGCCGACCCCGCAACGCAAACGTGCACTCGGGTTCTCGCCAAGAAGCGCCGTATTTCTCCGCGCGCCGCGCGATGACTGTCGGCCTGCAGCGGCCGCGCGAGGCGAGTCCGTCTCCTCCGGCCGCCTGCAGCCCGTTTTTATGGCCAAGTGGTGATGCAGAGAACGGCGAGGGACGAGAGGCGACAAGGCTGCTCGCGTAACCCCGAGGTGAATATATATAGAGGTGGATAGGTGTTGGTGTGTTGGCGGGGGGGGAATAAAATCTAGTCCATGCGTGTGTCTGCGCGTCGGTGCGCGCGCTCGTGTGTGAGAGCGCTATTTAAAAAGTTAGTAGATCATGGTGCCGTCCGTGGTGATAGGTGGGAGAGGGAGGGGGGGTAAGGGAGCTGGGGGGGGCTTTATGTGCACTGTGCACTGCGCGTCCCCAAAAACCCAGGGCTCGCCGATAGCGGAGGCACAGAATAAGTTGGCGCCCCTGCATGGTACCACTCGCTGCATCAGTAGATCTCTTACCAACACAACCATCAAACGAATAATGCAGATAGACGCACGCACGCACACACACACACACACACACAGTCTCTCGCGCACGCACAAAGCCGGTTCACAGCCAAACGGAGGCATAACGGGGATAGAGCTTACCACTTGGATTCTTGGTTTTCTTAAGACTCTTGCCACAAAGACACTGCAGCATATGCGTTCCTTTACTGAAAATGTTCCAAAGAAACCACATTGATTTGGGCGAAGAGCAATCCAGTGGCTTAAACACCCAGATATAGATGAGATCCTTGCGGTTGCATAATAACACAATTGGATCAGTTCTCCGGGACAAGGCGACCAATTGCACCATAGAAAAATAGCTATGTCCAAGTCCTACAGCGTTTTCATTTACGTGGCAGATATTCGGTGTCTGTCAGACTTCGCA